GGAACAAGGACTTATATAGGGTTCAGATGAGGGGAGGTCTGATAACTGGGGCGGAGCATGGGATTAGTATCTCAGGGTATCACAGGGTTGGTGAGTGAAAGAAAGGTGAGAGGGACTTGGGTGCAGTTAAGCAACGGGGACCAATGGGAGCTCACTCCGCACTGCGGCACTCATCGGCCAATCGGTGTGGGACGAACAGGAAAGCAGGGGAGAGCAAGGTGGTAAACAACTTTTGGCGGGAAAACCTCAGGACTAGTCCAGACAAGCCCTAAACAATACAAACCAGGGGGATTAATAGAGATGCATATATATTAGGGCACATAGAACATGGAATGAACTGGAGAATAACACAAAAGTCCATAATTTGTTGTCTTCTCTAAGTTCCATATAAGTCTCTCCAAGCTTGGAATTGTTCCCAGTCACTCTGGTGTTCCTCCACATCAAATACTATTTTATTTATCACTGGCTGATCAGTTAAGAATACAGATACTTTTACCTTAAGGACTATTTCTTCTGAAAAGGTGTAGAGAAAGATGGTATTTTTTAAAAGCTCAGATTGCATATCTAGATATGCAGGATTTTTTTTTTTAATTAGAGTTATTTATTTTTGAACTGTAGAAAGTGGGTCACTTCAAATTCTTGTCTAAGGAGAGTCAATAATTTAGAATTTTGTAAGGATTTTGTCAGTAGTCTTTTCAGAACCTCTCCATTTCTTTATTTAGTATTTTTCAACATTAAACTATAGTAGTTTCTCTGGGAAAAAAAAAAAAAAAAAAGAGGAGAGGGAAGGGGAGGGAAGGAGGCTTGTCTTAATGTTTCAGCACCCTTAATGTCAAGTCTGAACCTCACCTGAACCTTGCCTTCATCTATTCCCCTACATTCTATCACTGGAAACCAGGGAGAAGAGATCATCACTTCATCTGAACTTTCATATACATGATGATCCTCTTTTGGGGTGTTTCAGGTTTTCCAGTAGCACACATTTAGCCATAATGAAGTTCCATCATGTTTCTCATATATATGTAGGGATTTTTTGATGGGTCTTTCAGAGATGATTCGGAGGTGTAAGAAGATGAAACATGGACAAGTATTAATTTACAAAATTATTAATAAAAGTGACAAAACTGTACCAGGTAGGAAAATAGTTATTTAGATGTGTTTTGGAATTGCTGTAGTTGATTGCTCTATCAATCTCTTCCTTGTTTTTGTTACTGAATGCTTGTGGTCATTTACAAAATAATGTATCACAATGGCTGATATGATTATCGATTTCCTAGAAAGGATTTGTTGTATGGAATTCAGATTTTTTTTTCCTGGTTTCAACAATCAAGAAAAAATTGCAGTTAGGTACACAGTAACTGTATGAAGAACCTAGACAACTATGCTGCTAAAAACAAAAAGCCAGTTTTTTTATTGAAGAAGACTATATTACTTTTGCATATAATACATATATGTACATATATATTGCAATGTATATTTGCACATATATGCACATAATACATATAATACAAATAACCTGATAAAATATTGACATTTTGGTTTTCTGTGGAGACAAATATCCACTGTGAAAATCTACAGACTGTCAGTTTTTCTGATATCCTAGTAACTGTAAAATAAAACTCCTGAACTTTCAGTGTAGAAGAGTGAAAATGGCTATTTCTGTGGTTAAAATAAAATTTTTAATTTTAGAATAAAACTGTAGTTTTTGTGTTAACTACTCTTAAATAAAGAATTTACATTAACATTTTGAATGCTCAGGAGTGTTTTGCTGTGTTCCTTCAGAGCTTCATTTGTCTATTCCCCAAGAAACAACAGCATAAAGGTGAAAAATAATTACTATTTCTTCATGTTTGGTAATAAAAGAACACAGAATATACATAGTTTACACTGAGGTATATAGACACTTTGAAAAGGAGAGAAAAGACAAATAATAGGTATTAAGCAAAATCACATTTCCTGTAAAAGAATGAGCAATGTAAGATACATAGGCTGAAGACTGAATCAGAAATTGATTGTTTGGATCTTATTTAAATAACAGAATTAAAGGTTAATCACTGACAGCAAAAAGTCTGACTGTACTGCCAAAGTGTAGAGTAAAACAATGATGTGATTGTGCACCTTTGCTGAAATTAGTTGAAAGAGCAGACATATGAAAAACAAATCAAACAAAGAACAACTCTAAAACCGGAACAAAGGAATGAGATTCAGAAACTATTTTTGAGTATAATAATGCTTAAAACAAAAAGTATCTGTTCAGACCTAAATTGATCACATATTTGTTTTGTACACATTTTCCTGTTGTAATGTTCATTAAGTTGTTGTCCTTTGTATATAATTGTACACAGAATTACAACAAGGAAAGCATCTGTCACTTCAAAACATTAAAAGGTTTTACTCCATTTGTTCAAAAACTACATGGACAAAGCCCCTAAATGATAAAGGCCCTAATGATAAGAGGTATAAGGAAATGTTCCCTTCTTCAAGACAGTATACTTTCTATTGGATTTCAAAAAGAATGCTAATTGATTTCTTTTTAGTTGGAAGCTGAGGGCAGTTGTGAAACTGAATAGATTTCAGCAAACTTCAAGTAACCCTCAAAAGTGTTTTCAACCATGCTTTTTCATTTTGAAATCCAGTTGGAAAATTTGACTTATGTTTAATATAATTCCATATTTCTTTCATTGTATGATTTTATGTTTTTCCTACTGACTCAGTATAGTGATTTAAAGATAATCCAGACTTGTGATGGAGGTTAATTTGTGGTTTTAATGCTGAACAGGTCTTCAGCCATGAAGTAAAATGAAACAATCTTAAGGAATAATTTATGCCCTATATCGGTAGCAAATTGTAAAATATACTTTTCCTAATCATTAAACACAGGGTTGAAGTGAAGAAACTTTATCTCTTTGCAAAATTTAAAACTAGGTGTAGCAGAAGATAAAATCATACTTAAAAAAATATCTTCCCTGTAACACACTTGGGATATAACACATTATTCATATCTGTGAGGTGGAGAGAAAAAAAAAAAAGCTGTTTTTAATCAGTTTATTATTATACAAACTAGTATGTTTAAATCAACACAGTACAGGGATGTTCTCCAGAAATTGCCAGTTCATTTAAGCTATAGTGATAGTTGTGATTGGTATAAGAAAGGTCACTTTCTCCTCCTCTTGTGAGTACCAATTGGCTAGACAAATATGAGAGAGGAACAAAGAATAGGCACTGCTTTCCCATTGTGTTTCACTTAGCTATAGCTGCAGTCAGTTGCAACTCCTGAACTTTTCCCTGCCAAATTAAATCAGGGAGGATTTTGAATTCTGAATAATTTCCAACTTGATGATGAGAAGAGTGACTGTACCAATCGCCAGCTATGCAAATGCAGAATTACTTTGAACTGTTACTGCAGATGAGTGGGGACATTAGGCTTAGTGAAATGGGCAAAACAGAATCATAAAGGAGACATGATTCAAAACATCAGCAAAAGTAAAGCAAATGGAGGTACTAGAGAGCTACTCTTGAATTCACTAATGCTTACTATATGTCTATCAACTCAGAGTTCACTTGGTTTTCTTAGGGCAAACAGGACAACCTACATCTAGGAAATCCCACAGAGTGAGGTCAGAGGGTGCTTGCCTCTTTCATCTCTTACATGGAAGATACTTTCATATCTGAGAGGATGAGGTAAATTCCAGCTGGAACATAAAAAGCTACATGGAAGGGTGGATGCATTTGGTCACAGAAGCATGTTCCCTGATGTTTGGTATCACATCATCTCTGCAGAACAACCAGAGAAGTCTTCTGTGATGCAAACTACTTAATGAGACAGACTATATTCTTGTACTCAGAGGACTCTAGAGGATTGTCTATATGTTAACTGTCTTCCTTGAGAAGGAGAAGGACACTGCTACCACTGCTGAGAAATCAGTGGAATATATCCAGGTTAAAAATGGGTGCTTCTCAAAGTATCTATTGCTGAAAAAGAATATTTGGCCAGCCTTATGCAAATTTCTGCTACTTATCTGCTCTAGTCATTTCTAAGTATATATTCGGCAAAATCTCTAGACAGCTCTTGTTTCAGTTTGTCTTTGTATCCTAAATGACAAAAAAAAGTAGCATGCACAAAGCTATGAGGAGGCACCTATATAAGGATCATCTTCCATCTTTTTCTTTCTTTGCTACACATAACATTTTCTGGTTTTGCTATTGTAAATTTCTAAGACTGAACATCAAGGTTTGAAGGCTTGCGCAGAATCAAACTCTTCTTTCAGCAATAGCAGATATTAAACCTCTGAAGAACTTTCTCACAGTCCATTTTAAATTTTATAATAATTCATAACTGCAAATGAGACTTGGAAACATGTTTGTTTTATCAGACACTGAATAAACACCTTATACTTCCAATGTTTTCAAGCATAAAGCAAGGAGGAAGACTTTCATCCTTAAATAAAATTTGAAAACTACAGTCAAATTATTTTATACTAGCTCTGAGACAAAGCTTACAATAAGACCTAATATTTTAAAAGACTGAATGTGTATTGAAAAAGAGAGGAAATATAGTAAACCTCAATAATCTTCACATGCCTTTTTCCTAATGGAAGGATAATTCTCATTTACAAAGTCTGCTGAGAAAGGAGAAAAAATACCCATCCAAGTAGATTCTTAAATAGCTCCCAAAAGATTTCACTGTCTCTTATGAGAATTACTCAGCAAGAACAGCAAATTTTGGAAGAGTTTTCATGCTATTTTTGATAGCTTAATACAGTCTCTTAATCTTCAGAATGCTCTTTGTTCACAAATTATTTTATAGTAAACTGAAATAGAAGTCACAATAAGCTGATTTCTCCCCAAGACGCAGTTTATGTCTTCACAAATTATCCAATGAAAGGATTTTTCCCAAATTCTTGGATTATCTTTTACAGGAGTTATACAAATTTAATTTCAGGGGCAATAAATCTCACCTTATGCATTCTATACCTATTAAATTTTTTTTGATGTCATAGGTCTGGAGCAAAGCCCCAACACCAAGCCCAGACTGAAATTCTTCACTTCACTGAGGGATCAAAACATGACATCCATCTCTTAAGGCTGATTTACTGACATAATGAGTGCAATGGAGATTAAGCATGTGTGGTGTGGGTGCTCTAAAACAATGTGAAAAATCTAATTCAGTAATAACAGAGTCCCTGCTGACAATATCTTATGAGAGACCTGTTAAAAATATTTTAGATTTAAAATGTCCGTGCCTAGACAATTCTACTAATCAATATTTCAGATGTGTTTTCAATAAAATAAATTCATTCCATCCTTATAGAGCGTGGTTAGTCATATGGATTATATGTTCAACCTTTTAGAATGGCAGTTGCCTTTCATGATCTCTGGGAAAGCAGCACTTGTGTTGGGTGCGTTATTTTCACAAAATGTTCTTTAAGTACAACCTTGAAGCCTAAAGAGAAAGGAGACTCTTTAATGACTCTTATCTATTCTGTATCCATAAAAGTAAATATTTAAATGTAGCATTTCATTTCTAAGAAATGGATGAGACTTAAAGCATTTGAGTGTGTAAAACATTTCTTTAGAATATAGCTTATATATGGTCCATGAAATTATTTACAGTCTACCAAGAATAAGGACTAACACTTTTCTTGATGAGAAAAAAAAGAGATAATGTTTTTGCTTTTTTCAATCAAAGATAAATTCAGATAAGCGATTTTAGAAATATCCTCAAGGAGTTTCTGATTAAGGATTAAACAAGTAAATCTTATCTACTACTATTTTCTTCCTTCTCTGTTTCACTCCATTTGCAGACAATCAGAAACAGTGAATCGAAATGGTAAACACTAAATTCTTGGACTGTCTTCTGAAATGACCAATTGTTGTCTTGGTGGATTTTTGTTGCTGACTTGTCCTCTATAAATTGGGTAAAGGCCTTCAACTTACTTCAAATTTGTGCCAAGCAGTTAAGATGGTAACAAAGATGCTACTGAGATGGTAGTGAATTGCTGTCAGTACATCATGTATCATACTCAAGTCTATGCTTGGTTGTTTCTAGTCTTGAGCTGCACAGCCACTCGATGATCAAAACAAAATGTTTCTTTTCATTTATTTATGCCTTTATTAAATAATTCAATGAAAATGACACTTTGTATTTGTTTTGTCTAGCCAATAAATCCATGCTTTATAAAAAAGGAGAAGTAATCTGTGTTTATTCTTAAATAGAGAGGAATCTGTGAAGTATTTTACATTTTTACAGTCCCAGAAGTGAATGATAAATTAAAATAAATAAATTATTCATAATTGTAGCAGACTTAAAAATGAAGGCTTATAACCAGAAGGTCCTGTTCCAACAAGGACGTAACTACTGCATAAGTAGTTTCACTGAGGTCAGGAAAATAAGCCCACGTTTAAGTGTGTTTCTGGATGTAGTGGTTTGAACCAGGTTTTCCCCCTGAAGCTAAGAAAGTGGTAACCCCCAGGGGGTGGTAAGCCTTGAAGTTTTGAAGTTTTAGCCAATGAGTGCTTCTGCAAAATATAAACATATCACAACCAAACGGAAGAGAAGGGTAGTTGTAGTTTGGTAGAAGGGGTAGCCATGTTATAGGAGTCACGAGGAGAGGGCAGGAGTCCTCTGGGGGGCCTCTGCCCTCCCCCCACCCCCCCCAGCCCCAGTTGGGGGCTGCAGAGACTTGGAACAGTGTTAAGCTGGACTAAGTGTCTGTAGCTGAACCTGGAGATGTTTCTTCACTGTGAGCAGAAGCGGCAGCGGCAGAACTACACTGACCGGAGAAAAGGTGGCACAGAGCCAGAAGAGATGAGACGAAGCAGCAGAGGTATTACAGCCAAGCAGGAGAGAACTCCTGGAAGGAGAGAGAGAGAGAGACAACAGCAGAGAGACAGAGTTTTGGCAGTAAGAACAGAACCAGACCCCCCAAACTCCTTGGAGACCCCTCATGTCCTAGAAGGGAGGAGTGAAGTGCGACATACACTGCAGAGAAGAACTAAGAAGCTCAGTCGTCCTGAGAGCTCAGCCAGGACGGAATGTGTGGGAGGTGGACCTTGGACCCTCCCTCATTTGCAGCTATAGAGAAGCTAACAGCTTGGAATCAGAGCCAGAAGCTCTGCAAGGGGCTTGAGTCCCCTGAAGATACCAGACCATCACGGAGACTCCTGTGCTCCGTTGATATGACCGTGGTGGAATGACCTTTGTCTGGGGTGAACGTAGCCCACAGAAGACCCCTTTGCCTGCGTCAAGGGGCCGAGAGGGGCTAGGAGGCCTCCCTCGTGAGTGCTGGCAGAGATCCAGCCATCAGCTGCTGCGTAGAAGAAGAGAACCTGCTGCCTTAGAGACATTGCTGCTTTGAAGAAGGGATCTGTCCTTCTTCCCTCCTGGACTTTTATTTGGAGGGGAGAAGAGATTTGATCCATTGCAAATACTTATGTCATGGTAGAGATAGTTGAGATTGTGTGTATAATGTATTATAATATTTATTTATGTGTACAGTCTTGTAATATAACCTTTCCCCCCATTTTGAGTCTTGTGTGATTGTCTGGAAAACACATCTTACACTAGGCTGAGATGTGGGAGGGGGGCTTGGACTAGGGAATTAGATTTTGGAGATCTCAAACCATGACACTGGATAAAAGTCAAAATTAAGAAGAGAGCAAAATTAGAGAATTACAAACTACTTAATGCGAAGTGTGAAAGAAAGCACTGACTATATAATCGGGGAAAATAACTGATTGATGTGATGGCAATAAATGTATTCATGAGACATCATGATTTCTTAAGGAGCAAAAAGTACCATGATAAAAGCATGGAAAACTAGGGCTTTAATCCAAGAATGGGAAATATTGAGATGGACAAAATCCTTTTCCCCTTTTTAATAAACTAAATGTTCTAATACCTGCTTACAGATAGTAGGTTATAAAGTTAAAAATTATCAGTACTGAAATAAATGCTCAAAACTGTCCAGGAATGATGTGGTAATGTGCCAGAGAAATGTAAATGAAACTAAATTGACTGTCATTTCCGTGAATCTGAAAAATTACAAGTGATATAGGTACCAGGATAAGCCAAGATAAGATCCTTACAAAGGTTTGGTTCCCTGACGACATTTAGGAACACAGGTAATACCAGTTCTTGCTTTGAAAGCAAAATCTGTGCCCCAGCATAGGGAGCGATTTGAGACAAACTTTCAGTCCTTTTGTACTAGTTAACTGCTGTACTCCTCCTGGGACCGGGATGATGCAACAGATAATTCTAGAAGGAAAAGCCTGATTCTGTGGGCATGCAAGCATTTCACAATCACTAATTAATTGTCTGCTTTTGTCTTCTACTCTTGCAAGGGTGTCAAGAAACCATTTATTCAGTTGAAAACATCTCCAGGGACCTTTTGTAGATCTTTCTTATGGAACTGTTGGATTTTTTTTTTTTTTTTTTTACTACACTGTATAAGCAAATTGTGGATTTCAGCAGCATCCTGGTATGCCAGGTGACATCAGATCCTACATTTCATGTACAGAATTCATTTAGTCAATGAAACTACTTGTGAGAGTTATGTCACATACACTTTTTCAACATTGTACACATGCTCATCATCAAGAAAGTGGTTCTTAGTGATGTTTACAATCTAAAGTTGTAAGAAATTGAAAATATATGCCATGCAAATGGTTGCCAAGATATATCCCAAAATCCTGTGAATTTCTTAGAATGATGCTTGAAGTTATTATGGAAAAGTATACATAAGTAAAAATATATAGATGTATTCCACACCAGGTTGTCTCCCATATTTCATCTATATTTATACTTGCATTGCAGAGATGAAATATGTCTTTTTACATTATTACATGCAGCTCTGGGGCCTCTAGTAGGACATGAACCTGCCAGAGCTAATACAGAGGAAGGCCAAGAAGATGATTAGGAGGGGCTGGAGCACTTCTGCTATGAAGACAGGCTGAGAGACAGGTTTTTCTGTGGAGAGCTTAGAGGCAACCTTCCACTACCTGAAGGGGGCCTAAAAGAGGCCTGGAGAGAGAATTTTTACAGGGCCGTGTAAGGACAAGGGGCAATGGCTTTGAACTGAAAGAGGGTAGGTTTGAGATCAGATATTAAGAAGAAATTCTTTATTGTTAAAGTGGTGAGGCACTGCAATAGGTTACCCAGAGAAGCTGTGGCTGACCTATCCCTGGAATTGTTCAGGATAGATGGGTGGTGTCATCAGCTGTGGTCCCACTCTTTTTGAACCACTGAAATGGTAGAAAAAGAAAGTAACCTTTTGTAACTACCAGTTGCTAGTGGAGAGGTGTAACACCTATAAATCTGTTGTGGTAAAATGTCCCTCCATCCTCACCTATCCAGCACTCAGGCATGTGGCAAGAGGCAAGGCAAAATCAGCAAGGCAAAATCAGCAAGACAATAGACAAAAATGCATAGCTCTTCAAAGACAATTTTTGTATGTTGTAGAGGCAGTTGTCATCAGGTAGAGAAACCACAAGGCTAATATAGAAGTGGTTTGGGTAGTAGGCAGCCAGCACTGGATCCCGTCTGACCACTGTTTCCCAGCTCTTGCAGAGAATGTCCTAGCCCTGGTAGACATCAATCTATTTTTCCTAACAAGTATTTCTCTTGCAGTTGCTACATAATACAAATTGAGGTATTGAAAAAGTATGATTTTTATATTTATGAAATGTATTTGAAACTGAAAGGTAAATGAGGTAAAATTAGAAAATACTTGAACAGGAACAGAATACTTGGAATTCTTATATTTCCTCAAAGTCAAAGGAATCTGGTGTGTGTGTAAAAGCACTTAATGTGGAGCTAGCTAATGTCAACATAAATATTGTTGTGTAATAACTATGTCCTATACATTTCATTGCTTACATTTTGTTGTGTTTTAGTTTTTTGTTTGCTTGTTTTTCTTGTCATGATCTCCAGTTCATACTGAACAGAGATGTGTTCTGGAAGGACTGTATTGAGAGTATGTCTGCACCACATACTTTAATGATACCTCAATCCAAGATATTGCCAATGAAACTGTAATGGTGAGGAGCTTAGAACACCTGAATACTATTCCAAGTCTCACAGACAACTAGGCATCACTTCTGCACTGTGGGAGTAGTAACAGTGTGTTTTAGATGTAGCTAGGTATGCTGACAAAAGCTACAATCTCACTTCTACCAGCAATATGAACTTAACT